TAACGAGAGCGAAACTCCGTCTCAAAAAAAAAAAAAGAATTACCTATCTAAATAACATAATTAATTTATAAGTGATTCTCCCTTCTATCGGATTCCTTAATATAACTAGATCCTAGACTCATTATTAAATTTCTTCTAATGCATTGAAGTGGAGAAATAATGTTTCTGTGTGACTCTGTCATGTGTCCTAATACCCTGAGGATGATTAAAGTGATAACAAAAAGGAAAATTAGGTAAAATTGTTTGGGTTAATATAAATTTCCCAACTTTATATGAAAATGCTAAAAAGTGAAGATGTTTCAACAGTCTTGAAAAACTCAATTGCAACTAGAAATTTTCTCTGAAATTAAAATCTTTACCTGTGGGTGTGTGTATGGGTATACACATATGGTTGTGTGTGTGTACCTGCAGACTACCCACAAGTGAACAGTTTTGCCTGGTCTTTATTTTGTATCTCCTGAGAAAGCAAGAGAAATCAATGTCATATTGCTTGACTCATTGGAAAACCTTGCAATCATGTTTCTTGTGAGACTTTAGGAGCACCTCAGCATTAAAGGGGGGAAATTATAGAAATTCTTGAGAGTAGGAGAAGTTACCCCTATCAATAATGAGAAGCATGCTCTTGGGAGCAAAGGAGAGGAGGTTCTGGGAGAGAAGTACAGCAATAGTTATCATTTCAACATTCTATTTTTTTGGTTACCTGTTACCTGAAGAATTTATCCTTTCTTTGTGTTACAAATATTCCACTTATACTGTTTTGGTTATTATAAAATGTATAATTATTGTTGACTGTAGTCACCCTATCGTTCTGTCAAATACTAGATCTTATTCATTCTATCTAACTAGATATTTTGTACTCATTAACCATTCCTACTTCCCTCCTCCCCAGCTACCCTTCCCAGCCTCTGCTATCCCTCATTCTATTTTCTATCTCCAAGAGTTCAATTGTTTTAATATTTAACTCCCACAAATAAGTGAGAACATCTGAAGTTTGTCTTTCTGTGCTTGGCTTATTTTTCTTAATACAAAGATCTCCAGCTTTATCCATGTTGTTACAAATAATTTGTTAGAAATAATTTGTAACAACATGGACAAAGCTGGAGTTTTATACAGTGGAGTACACTGAATAGTACTTTCAGGAGCACTGACAAGTATTCTACTGTGTATATGTGCCACATTTTCTTTATTCATTCATCTGTTGATAGACTCGTAGGTTGCTTCCAAATCCTAGCTATTATGGATAGTGCTGCAATAAATATAGGAGGGCAGATATCTCCTGTATATACTGATTTCCTTTCTTTTGGGTATATATCTATATTGGCAGTGTGAATCCTGGGTCATACGGTTGTTCTATTTTTAGTTTTTCAAGAAACCTCCAAACTGTTTTCCACAATGATTATACTAATTTACATTTCCACCAACAGTGTATGATGGTTCCCTTTTCTCTGCATCATTGCCAGTATTTGTTATTGCCTGTCTTTTGAATTTATCCAAAAAACCCAATCTTAAATGGAGTAATATCTCATTGTAGTTTTGTTTTGCATATTTCTGATGATCAGTGATGTTGAGCATGTTTTCACATACCTATTTGTTCTGGGAGAGAAGGTTCTGGGAGAGAATCTTCTATTTGCCATCTGTATGTCTTCTTTTGAGAAATGTTTATTCAGATCTTTTGCCCATTTCCAAACTGAATTATTAGATTTTTTCTCATAGAATTGTTTGAGCTCCTTACAAATGTTGGTTATTAACCCCTTGTCAGATGGATAGTTTGCAAATATTTTCTCTCAACTGTGGACTTTCTCTTCACTTTGTTGACTGCTTCCTTTGCAGTGCAGAAGTTTTTTTTAACTTGAAGTGATCCCATTTGTCCGTTTTTACTTTGGTTGCTTGTGCTTGTGAGGTATTATTCAAAAAATCTTTACCCAGTCTAATTAGGGAAGAGTTTCCCTAATGTTTTCTTTTAGTATTTTCACAGTTCAAAGTTTTAAATTTATGTCTTTAATCCATTTTGATTTGATTTTTGTATATGGTAAGAGATGGGGGTCTAGTTTCACTCTTCTACATATTGATATCCAGTTTTCCCAGCACCATTTATTCAAGGGACTATTCTTTCCACAATGTCTGTTCTTGGCACCTTTGTCAAAAATGAGTTGAATTTACATGTATGAATTTGTTTCTGGGCTCTCTATTCTGTTCCATGGGTGTATGTGTCTGTTTTTATGCCAGTACCATGAGGTTTTGGTTACTATCTCTCTGTAGTATAAATTAAAGTCAAGTAACGTGAGTCCTCCAGTGTCGTTCTTTTTGCTTAGGATAGCTTTGACTATTCTGGGTCTTTCATAGTTTCATATAAATTTTAGGATTGTGTTTTCTAGTTCTGTGAAGAATGTCATTGGTATTTTGGTAGGCATTGCATTGACTCTGTAGATTGCTTTGGGTAGTATGCACATTTTAATAATATTAATTCTTCCAATCCCTGAACATGGAATATTTTTCCATTGTATTGTGTCCTCTTCAGGTTCTTCCCTTAATATTTCATAGTTTTCATTGTAGAGATCTTTCACTTCTTTGGTTAAGTAAATTCCTAGGTCTTGTATTTTATTTGTAGCTATTATAAATGGGATTACTTTCATGATTTCTTTTTCAGATTGCTGCTGGAATATAGAAATGCTATTGATTTTTGTATGTTGATGTTGCATCTGCAGCTTTACTGAGTTTATTAGTTTTAATAGTTTTCTGGTAGAGTCTTAGATTGTTCCAAATATAAGATCTGCAAACAAGGATAAATGGACTTCTTTGTTTTCAGTTTGAATGTCCTTTATTTCCTTCTCTTGTCTGATTGCTCTAGCTAGGACTTCCAGTTCCATGTTGAATAACAGTGATGAAACTGACATCCCTGTCTTTTTCCAGATCTCAGAGGAAAG